AAGCAATGTTTGTAGGTAGATTGTTATTGACTTAAGTCCCAGACAAAATACAGCCGTATCTCTGAAGGGCTGGGCTTTTTGTCATCACTTTGGAGTTCTCAGTGATACAAAGGTAAGTGTGGGCTGCAGAGTCCACAATGCATGTGGTCTCCCTGACTGGCCCTTATTCATTTACAGGAGAACCGGGCTTGAAATTTGGTTCCTGAGAGGAGACCGTATGAGAAAAAATGAGGCTTACCCATCCTGTCCTATATTAGTCACTCTATTTATGTGCACATTATATAACAAATTGGGCTTCTAGGAGAAAAATCATGTGAGTTTATTTTTAAAAGGAAAACTGAAACTATTGAAACAATGATGGGGACGGGGGAAGAGAGGAGGAAAGTTCCCCAGCAGGCTGTTAGACCAGGTAACATCATGTGCTGTTTTCAACAACATATGTTTATGAATGAGGATGAAATGAGAGTTTTTAAAACTTGTGCTATATTTAAATATCGAAACCTTAAAAGATTACTTTTAATTATATTTGGGCAAATGCTGTGGTGCTTAAAAAATCTGTCTCAACATTATATTTCTGTCTCAATTTTCATATGGAAGGGGAGATTCTCCCAAACAATGTGCCTGTTTTCTTTTGTCTTCCTCAGACATTTTCCAATTATGCAAATGAGATGTGGATAGATAATATTTGATATTTTATTCTAACTGCTTTTACCTAGGTAAATTAATATTATACACGTTCAAAGGAAAAAAATGTTTCTCATATTTTTCTCTTGAAGCTATACAACTTTAACCAAATAATTTCAGCTTAAACATTATATAACTATCTGTATATGTATGTTTACCATCATAAAAATCATTTCCCATATTTTCTTACATGATTGCCTTGAGGCCTACCAGGGATGGTGAACATGTTTCTTCTGAAAGCTATGCCTATATATAATCTGAAACCTTACATAAGCAATAATAGAACTCGAGAATTCAATATTTCCTTTATGCAGTAATTATGATACAATAGTGGCACTGGAAAATGTCAGTTTATATTGTGATAGGTGTTAGAGCTACAAACCTGACATCTATAATCATTGTCAGTCATAAAAAAATAGCAAATTGGTATAAATTTAGCTCAGTCATTCAGGGAGAATGAAGGTTGTCACCTGCGTTCCTTTGTGATTTGATTATCTTGGACTAGATTTTTCTTAAAAAAATAGTAAAATGAATTAAAAAAGGAAAAGATTCAAAAGGAAAGAGCTAATAATAAGTAGTGAGGTTAAAAAAAAATACCCAAAGAGCTTACTATACTTTGCCTGTTTGCACAGCCTTAAAAGGTGTTAATTTCTTCTTCTGGTGTTAAAATTCCACATTGTCATTTTCTGAAGAGTGATAATACACATAACCCTTAGCATTTTTAACACAGTCTACCTTCCTCCCAAGTAGGGTATAATAGTCTACTCCTTTTTGTGAAATGGGGAGTTCCCGCTGTGACCTAAGAGATGCAGTAATTGATTGATTTATGTCTGTTAGACATACACAAAATATCCAGATTGAAAGAACTTCAGAAGTAAAGCTCACAAAACTGTTTTTATATTCTTTTAAACTCAGGGCTATAAAACTAGTGTATAAGAGTTAGAAATATTAGCCTGCAAGTCCTTGAGGAGGAAATCTGATCCTTATCTTTTATAAAAATGAAAGGAAACATGAGAAAAGACTTTGTAATATCTACATGAAGTGAGAATTTTAAAATGCTGATTGGTAACTAGAAAATCATAGAGGAGAATTCAATTAACAAACTGAACTGCTTGATAATTCAAGTTATTAATTGTCATTACATGAAAAGTATTGTTTAATATATAAAGGTACAGTGTTAAATTTGGAATATAAAATAATGTTATTAACACAACAGCTGTTTCTGTACAAATCTGTAATATCATTTTCACCTTCAGTTAAATGGTGACTGAGCTTTACAAGTATCCTCTGACCTGTTTAACCAGAAGAGAACACGGAGACAATATTACTGTTGCTCAAATGATTTGATTACTAATCTACTAATTGCCAAACAATACAGATGAAAGCCCTGTAATCCTTAACAAAGAAAATATGAAAAACTGACAAAAATGAGCAAGGGTTAAAGAGATCCTACTAGAAGTCTAATATGTCTATCAGAATATCTACACAGAAAGTTAAATAATTGAGTATCTAATTTGTTTTAAGTGCACTAACAAAAATAAGATAAAATGCAAAACAAACACTAAATGTAGAAATATGTCCCTAATTGGTAACTGTACAGATGCAACATGTAAATAGACAGTAACAATGATAGATTGTGAATAGCTCTACTTAGGTTGATGATTTTTGTAATATTTCAGATAGAAATATTATATCAAAATAGGAAAGAGGAATATGACCCCTTTAAATTTCTTTTAAGAAAATTAATATGAATAATAATATTTCTCACTGTAAACAGCAGCTGGAATGTATTAGGGAAATGTCTCTACACTTCTAACATTAAGAGTGTAAAACTGCTATGGTTAAAGAACACCAATACTTTAGCTATTCTAGATAAATATAAGATCGAATCATGTGAGGCAATAGCTCCATTTCTACATTACATTCAGTATCCTCTGGGGGAGAAGATATCTAGACATATATCATTCTGTGGCTTTGACCTTTGGTTTTCTTTAATTGAAGCCTAATGATCATACATTTAATCAGGTGATTCTTTTCTCTCTCCTAAGCCTTTCCTGGTGCTCATATTACTATTTCATTCATGAGCATGGAGGTGATAATGGGCTATGGCAGCAAATAGAGCTATCCTCCAGCAAACAAGCAATTTTGCTTAAGAATGATGTCAAATAATTATGGCTAAGCTATGTGTGTGACTACATGACTTTGAAATGGCTATGGTATGATTAAAATGTAACTGGTGTTCATGAAATGAACTGGAAAGTGGTTTTGCTGCTGTACTTACTGTAAACGTATCAGAATGATGGCTTGTTTGTTTTTAAATAGTTCAGAGCATCACATAGGTGACAGTTGGAACAGTGTACTAGCTTCAACTGCAGATTTTTATGACTGGCAAAGTGTTAATTCACCTGGATGGGAGAACAATCTTTTTGTTCACTCTAATTATTGTAGATTTAATACTTTCCTGATGACATGCTCATATTTTATTTTTAACATTATATATATTCTAATCATATCTCATATTGCTATAGTAGCTATATTACCGCATAAAATGCTATAAACTTATTACCTTTAATGCAATATATATAATATAAAGGAATAATAGATTTTGCAGTATGCCTCTGGATAATGTATTTTTCCTGTGAAATATTCGCCTAAAGAAAAGTTTCCAGGAAAAGGTGGGGTTTACAAATTCATGTGAGAAAATCACAATGTCAAATAAATTTATTAAATATTTATGCAATATATACTTTAACAGGCTTGAAAGGTGATTCTTTTTTTATCCATTTCAAATTTAACTACCTAAAAATAAATATTTATATGTAAGCAGAAATGCGTTGTATTCAAGAACAAGAGATGTTCGAAAACAAGCCACCATTGTGCACAGCTCTGCATGGTAGGAAACTATGGGGCACCCAAAGAAACAAGTATCTTCTTTTATTCCAATAAGGGGGGGGGGTTAATCATTAAGACCATCTCAGAAAACCTGCATAAGGCATTCAGGAAAATAAAAATAAAAAAAGTATTCCAAGTGAGCTGTTATGTCAATATCCCAAACTTTATTCTGGCCTGGTCGTTGTGTAAGTCTGCAAACCGACTGTGGTTTACCGACTTTAAAAGATCAATCAAGCACCGAAAAGTGCTTTGGGGACCAGTCATGCAGGAATAAAGCTTAGTCCTTCCGGGAGTCATTCTATCCGGATCTGATCTGAAAGTAGGAAACGTCTGAGCATCTACTACAGAGCTGAATCATAGGAATGAATTGCACGGGAAGGAGGTATTGCAGCGCAGAGCCTAGGGGGAGAGGAAGCATTCACAGCTTGGAAAACAGCTGCTCGGGACTCCTTCCAGCCTCTCGGAAGCGAAGTTGCCGCGGCGGGCTGTGGCAGCGCGTGCGGGGCGGGCAGGGCAGCTCGGGGTTCCCGGCGGGCCGGGCTAGGGCGCCCCAGATCCGGCGCCTCGTCCCGCGGCTGCCATCGGCGATCCTAGAAGCCGCAACTTTCCTCACCTCCAGGCAAAGTCCACGTCCCTGAACATAGGAAATGCCCAGATTAATGTTCTCTCATCTTCTTGGAAATATATATATATATATATATATATATATATATATATATAATAAAATGAAATGAAATCAGCTGCCCCACCTGGACCATCCGCCCCGGGCGCCCTTCTCTCCGCGGTCCCGGCCCCGCGCACGCGTCAGTGTGCGCGCGGCCAGACGAGGGTCCGCCGGTGGGGGTGCCTCCGCCGATCGGGGCGGGGTGGGGGTGTGACTGTGCGTCTCTCCCATCTGTGCATTTCGGCCCCTACACTTCAACAATCAGACACGTCTCCTGTGCACCCAGAAACGAGCTGTCCCCGTGTGTGTGTGACCGGGGGGGGGGTGACCCCAATCTGCCCGCGGCCACGATCTCCGCCTCAGGAATGAGCGCCGCGCACCGGCGTCCGCGTTAGCCGGACCGCAGTGCTCCGCGGTTCGCAGCCCGCCGCCGCCGCCGCCCTCCCGGTGGCACGCTGTCGGGCATGCTCAGTGCCTGTCGCGGAACCCGGCTCTCTCCGGGGACCAGGATCAGATCTCCGGGTTTTCGTGGTTGCCGGTGGGGGAGGGGGGGGGCTCTGAGGACAGGCAGCTGAGAGACAGTCAGAGCCTTGTATTGCGCCCCCACCCTCCCGCCGGGTGCGCCCGCCCGCACCGCAAGATGAGAACCAATCAGGATCCAGGGGGCGTGGCTTGAGCCGTCACGCCCTCCCTCTGGGCTTATTGAGAGTTATATCAAGAAATTCAGTTCAGAGAGCGGAGAGGAGAGAGGAGAGAGAGGGAGAGAGGAGAGAGAGAGGGAGAGAGAGAGGGGGGACCGAGGAGAAGGGAGAGAGGGAGAGCATGCGAGACGGCAAGGAGCTCCTTGGAGTCTCTGAAGCACCCCACAGATAACCGCTTAGGAACTGGTCGGGGGCACTGTCACCCCGGAAAGCTGCCAGTGTGTCACCATCACCCCAACTCTGACGTTTCCTACAAAGAAGTTAGAGACTTAAGCAGTATTGACATCCGATGGGAATGGTATGCCTGACGCTGTGGAAAATACTCTTGAGCTAAAGAAGTGCGCCCGGAGGTGGTGTGCGTTGAAATACCAGAAGCACCCCGACCCAGTGGGTGAAACAGAGACCAGACGGTGGAGAGAATGACTAACGACAAATTTGTGAATTTGTTCTCCGGGAGTTGCTAATTTGCCAGCCAGAAGCTACACATTTTACAAGGAGGAAACGTTTGGCTGCTTCATGAATTCTCCCCCAAACTGGTGCTACCAGATGCATGGCTTTCTATGTGTTGGAACAAATCAGGCTTAACTGCAGCAAACCCGGAGAGGAGAAAGGTTGAGGCAACTCACGTAAGTGTAAAGTTTCGCATGCACAATTGTAAATTCTGTGTTGAGCTATGTCGTCAGTGCAGACGAGGAGTGTTCGTAATTGGGCAGGCAGTTGGGGCAGAGCTCACCTTCCGAAGCTATATCTGCATCCCTACCTGCATCACTCTGCTGGAACTAATCGCGGGCATCAGCTACTGGGCAGCCTAATGCAGATAAGATTAAGCCTGGGAACTGACCAGTCCTACACAAGTAGGTAGCTGCCTGGAGCTTTGCACCCATTTAAACTGCAGTTAAGGGAGGGCGTCTGAGCAGAAGCCGTTTTACGTGCGTTGTTGGGTTGCAGTATTTACGTGTGGCCAATGTTAAATGATATTTTAAGCAGAGAGCAGGGTTGAGGAAGTGTATTTCTCTTTTTTTTTTAAATGCTCAGTAGAAAATGTTGTGAGGTTACTTGGGAATGTTAGCTGCGTTTCACGAACATCTCAGCACTCTCTAGGACAAGGAATTGCATATTGTTATTGTTATTATTATCATTATCATTTTTTAAAGTTTTCATGTGCTTTTCAATCCTAATGAGGATAATTTGGCAATATGGAGAAAGAACGGCAGGCTTTGAGTAAGAAATTTGAAGTCCGGGTTTTATGCTTTTAAGCAGCAGAATGTGTAGTGGCTAGTGACTATTACCTCTGCTGCTGCTTCTGCTGCTCTATGTCCAATGCCCTTTTCCCAGTGAGACTGTATTAGAACCAGAAGAAGAGCAGAGAGAGAGAGAGAGAGAGAGAGGGAGGAGAGAGTCATAGAAAAAAGATGACTCAGTGTGGCAGAGGAAAAAAAAAACAAAACACATCACATCTGACATGTGACAAAGCAATTAGCAGGAACCATATCTAGCTAAGTAGGGGTTTTCACTTACACCTACAACAACTGTGAGAGGTGGGTTAGAGGCCAGGAGGTGGGTAAGTGGGGGAGGGGAAGAGGAGAGCAAAAATGCATGTTTTCAATTAAAGAGTATCCTAAAATGAAACAGCATGGGGATACACAGGTGAGCACAGCTGCTGCTGTTTTTAATGCAAGAGTAAGTCATTTCATTTTTTTTCTGGACAAATGCAACAAGCAGAGGGTATTATGTGTTTTTAAACCCAGAGTTAACTTGTGAACAGTGGTAGAGCAAACTGCCATGTTTACCAATAGCCGATGGAAATAACGTGGTGTGATTGTTTTGTGTGTGTGTGTGTGTGTGTGTGTGAGAGAGAGAGAGAGAGACTGTGGTTTTATTTACTAAAGAATAATATTGTCTGTACAATTGTGTTGACAGTGGCTGTCTCCAAGTAAACGGTGAAATGTAATGCATCCTCCAGTCCATGCACACTTCCACTTGCCATTTGTGCGTCCTTCCTCAGTGGGAACCTTTAAACCCTAAATTCCAGAGAAGGAACATAAATACATTATCATGGACCTGAGGGATTTTTACCTGTTGGCTGCTCTGATTGCCTGTTTAAGGCTGGATTCTGCAATAGCTCAAGAACTTATTTACACGATTAGGGAAGAATTGCCTGAAAATGTACCCATAGGAAACATACCAAAGGATCTGAACATTTCTCACATCAATGCTGCCACAGGGACCAGTGCCAGCCTTGTCTACAGACTGGTTTCTAAAGCTGGAGATGCCCCTTTGGTGAAAGTATCCAGCAGCACTGGGGAAATTTTCACCACCTCTAACAGAATAGACAGAGAAAAACTCTGTGCTGGAGCTACTTATGCTGAGGAGAATGAGTGTTTCTTTGAACTTGAGGTGGTGATCCTCCCCAATGACTTTTTCCGGCTGATCAAAATCAAGATAATTGTCAAGGATACCAATGATAATGCCCCCATGTTTCCATCTCCTGTCATCAATATTTCCATTCCAGAAAACACTTTGATCAACAGCCGCTTTCCAATTCCATCAGCAACAGATCCTGACACAGGCTTCAATGGTGTACAGCATTATGAATTGCTAAATGGGCAGAGTGTTTTTGGACTGGATATTGTGGAAACTCCGGAGGGAGAGAAGTGGCCGCAATTGATTGTTCAGCAAAACTTGGATAGAGAACAGAAAGATACCTATGTGATGAAAATCAAAGTGGAGGATGGAGGCACTCCACAGAAATCCAGCACAGCCATACTGCAGGTCACAGTAAGTGATGTAAATGACAACCGGCCAGTGTTTAAAGAGGGTCAAGTGGAGGTGCATATTCCAGAGAATGCTCCTGTGGGGACCTCTGTCATTCAGCTCCATGCTACTGATGCAGACATTGGGAGCAATGCTGAAATCCGATACGTGTTTGGTGCCCAGGTCGCCCCTGCAACCAAAAGACTCTTTGCTTTAAATAACACTACTGGGCTGATTACAGTTCAGAGGTCCTTAGACAGAGAAGAGACAGCCATTCACAAAGTGACAGTGCTGGCCAGTGATGGCAGCTCTACTCCTGCTCGAGCCACGGTTACCATCAATGTCACTGATGTAAACGATAACCCTCCCAACATCGACCTCAGGTACATTATAAGTCCCATCAATGGCACGGTGTATTTATCAGAGAAAGATCCTGTCAATACAAAGATTGCCCTCATTACAGTTTCAGATAAGGACACCGATGTGAATGGCAAAGTGATCTGCTTTATTGAAAGAGAGGTCCCATTTCATTTGAAGGCAGTCTATGACAACCAGTATTTGCTAGAGACCTCTTCCTTGTTGGACTATGAGGGCACCAAAGAATTCAGCTTTAAAATCGTTGCCTCTGATTCTGGGAAGCCCAGTTTGAATCAGACTGCCCTAGTAAGGGTTAAGCTTGAAGATGAAAATGACAACCCACCAATTTTCAACCAGCCTGTAATTGAGCTGTCAGTTTCTGAAAACAACCGACGTGGGTTATACTTAACGACTATTAGCGCCACAGATGACGATAGCGGGAAAAATGCAGACATTGTTTATCAGCTTGGACCGAATGCCTCCTTCTTTGATCTGGACCGAAAGACCGGAGTTTTAACAGCCTCTAGAGTCTTTGACAGAGAGGAGCAAGAGCGATTCATTTTCACAGTAACTGCCAGGGACAATGGGACCCCTCCCCTGCAAAGCCAAGCTGCTGTGATAGTTACAGTTCTGGATGAGAATGACAATAGCCCCAAGTTTACTCATAACCATTTTCAATTTTTCGTGTCTGAGAATCTGCCAAAGTATAGTACTGTGGGGGTGATCACAGTGACAGATGCAGATGCTGGAGAGAATAAAGCTGTGACTCTTTCCATTCTAAATGACAATGAGAACTTTGTGTTGGATCCCTACTCGGGAGTCATAAAGTCAAATGTCTCCTTTGATAGAGAGCAGCAGAGTTCTTACACTTTTGATGTCAAAGCCACTGATGGAGGGCAGCCACCTCGGTCCTCGACTGCCAAAGTCACCATCAATGTCATGGATGTCAATGACAACAGCCCGGTGGTCATTTCTCCACCATCTAACACTTCTTTTAAGTTGGTGCCCCTCTCGGCCATCCCTGGGTCTGTGGTGGCAGAAGTTTTTGCCGTGGATATTGACACCGGAATGAATGCAGAACTCAAGTACACCATTGTCAGTGGGAACAACAAAGGGTTATTCCGGATTGACCCAGTGACAGGTAACATCACGCTGGAAGAAAAGCCGGTGCCCACCGATGTGGGTTTGCACCGTTTGGTGGTCAATATCAGTGACCTGGGGTACCCTAAGTCTCTGCACACACTCGTGCTCGTGTTTCTCTACGTCAACGACACTGCCGGAAACGCCTCCTATATCTACGACTTGATCCGCAGGACTATGGAGACCCCATTGGACAGGAACATAGGGGACAGTAGTCAACCCTACCAAAACGAGGACTATCTCACCATCATGATCGCTATCGTCGCCGGAGCCATGGTGGTGATCGTGGTGATCTTTGTCACCGTTCTAGTGCGCTGTCGCCATGCCTCGCGGTTCAAAGCCGCTCAGAGGAGCAAGCAAGGTGCCGAGTGGATGTCTCCCAACCAGGAAAACAAGCAAAGCAAGAAGAAGAAAAGGAAGAAAAGAAAGTCTCCCAAGAGCTCCCTTCTGAACTTTGTGACTATTGAAGAATCCAAACCTGAGGATGCAGTTCACGAACCTATCAATGGGACAATCAGCCTGCCAGCTGAACTGGAGGAGCAAAGTATAGGAAGATTTGACTGGGGTCCGGCACCTCCAACCACCTTCAAACCTAACAGCCCTGACCTGGCCAAGCACTACAAATCTGCCTCTCCACAGCCTGCTTTTCATCTCAAACCAGACACTCCAGTTTCTGTGAAAAAGCACCACGTGATTCAGGAGCTCCCTTTGGACAACACCTTTGTCGGGGGCTGTGACACCCTTTCCAAACGCTCCTCCACTAGTTCAGACCACTTCAGTGCTTCAGAGTGCAGTTCTCAAGGAGGCTTCAAGACAAAGGGTCCCTTACACACCAGACAGGTAAACGAGCACTTTTACTGGTCTATAAGTACTGCATACAAGTGCCCAGTCAACCAGTATTAACGTGCCAGTGTGTCTATTGTTTGGGTCTAACTTTAGCTTAGTTATAAAAGAGGGGAAAAGAAAAAGAAAAACAAAAACAAAACAAAACAAAAAAAATAAAACAACCTGACCCCTTTTCTATTCCACTGGGGCTCAGTCAAGAATTTTTAGCACAGCTTTGAAATTTCCCAGTTCTGAGAATTATTTAACCTCCAATTCCCTTCAAATGGTAAAAGATGAAAAGAGGAAATTATTTCAAAATGTCCCAAGATAATGTTTGAGGAAGAAGAAGAAGAAGAGAAAAATAATCCTGCTAGGCCAAATTCTGCTCCTGGGGTTTCTAAATTGCCTGCTTCAAACATTTCATATTACCTCTTGATCTAATAAGTCACCTTCAAATCTCAAGTAGTAAGTGACATTTGAAGGTCTGATGCCAATTACATTGGAGCTGTGGTTACTAAAGGGGTTAATGTGTGTGGGTTTTTTAATGTCTTTAGACAAGATAGTAGAGTATTAAATGTAAATCAGTGATGAAGCAATGATAGTTGATAGATTGCAACTAAGCCATATAGGAGGTCATCTCTTTGATTTCAAATTATTTTACTGTAATATAGTAAATTGGATCTTTGACAGATAGATTTTCAGTGTCTTCCGTGGCAAAATACTTTCAAAAAAAGAAAACAAAAACATTTTCTTAATATAACTGATTTATTGAGAAAAGAATGAATCCATTGTAAATATTCTCTCATCTTAGTAATGCATAAGTGATCTGTCATAACTCATTTTAAACTGTGAAACACGCCATATGAAGAGGGATTAAGAGGCTGAGAAACTCATATTTCAACCAAATCCAGAATTAGTTTTTCTTAGGTCTAATACTTCCTTGTTAATAAAGATTTAAATGCAGTGCTGTCTAATTTATTTCACTGGTGCCTGTCTGTTGTCACAAAATTTGAATGTCGATAATAGCCTGTAGATGGCACTAAGGTATCATGTCGCTTGGGCTGGCAATGGTCCAATCTTATAGTAGCAGCAAAAGGGGGAGTGGGGGGAGGGAAGGATCAAAATGGTAGGACAGCCAAAGATACCTTCTATTTTAATGATAGCTGATCTGGACCCACTAGTATTTAAGTTCATTTGTTTGCTCTTTTATGCTCCCAACACACCAACTTTCTAGGATTTCCTAATCCAGGTTCTTAGTATTTTGGGATGGAGTCCAAACCTAGTCATGGCCCACTCACAATTGTTAGATAGAAAATTAAGTAAAACAAAATTCAAGCACAGAATAGTCTTGATAGTCATTGATGAGAGTTTGGAAAATCCTAAGCTTTCCTCCCCTCCTTCCTTCCCCCCCCCCAATATGGTATAGTAGGATCTCTTGTGGAAACTATTTCCCCTTTACTAATCAATTTATTCTTCTGAGATGACTTTAAGTCTTTAAAGCACTAAGATATTTATGAAAATAGCTTAGATAACAAATCACAAATAAATTCCCAGAATCTTAAGTATACTGCCTGCAATTATATGTGTAAAATCTCCATTGGAAATGTCAAAATCTATAGATCATTTTAGAAGCACAAAGCTTAGAGCTTAAATACACAAGACAAAATGACTTAAAACAAGATGAAATGACTTAAATAAATCAGATTCAAGCCCAGGAATGATCTGTGAGGTTATCACATGCAAGCTGGAAGTTAAAGGACAACTTGTTTATCTATATTAACTTTATTGTGACTTGAAAAGAGGATGGTACTTTAAAATGTGGAAATTGTCCAGGTTAGCTAACAACTTCACTAGTTGCTAAAGGGTTAATTGCAAGCAAAGTATTTGGTAAAACCAGATGGCTATAATTAAGAAGTTGCTATTTTAATGAAAATAAATACAGTATTACTGTTCATTTTTAATATGAAGGTTTTTCACAATGTTTATAACATTTTATGATTCATATTCTATCTTGATGAAGCTAATATGATTTAAAGCTTTTCACATAAAAGCTCTTTTCCAAAGAAATGTGCTATTGTACTTCCTAAATCTTTCTTTTCATCTAAGTGTATTGGATATTAGCTTTTAGGTACATGCCAACTTTGTCTGTGTCCCAACAGCTAAACTTATATATATATATATATATATATATATATATACACACACACACACATACATACCTATATATACATATATGTGTATTTATTGCAGTGATATAAACGTTAAGTACATTTCAGCAAAGCATGTACAAGACCTTTTCTTGAAGCCTAGTGTATCATAAAGATATTTGTTGGTATGATGTAATCCTTGAAGTAGGATATTGAGTAATTCTCTAACTGGAACTGAAGTGCAATTTAGATATTTCTTCTGACCATGTGGCATTCTGCAGCTTTCCAACAAGCATTTTGAAGGCCAAGTGTAACCATAATTCACAATTATGATAAAGAGTTACTAAAACAGCTTTCGTTGCACCTTTTAGAAGTTTCTGTGCTGAAAGAGAAAAAATGCAGTGATGTTGGAGAAAAAGGAATATTAAAAATAAGTGGAGAGGTCTCATAATAGGTATAGCAGTGCATATGATTTTAGGGTGGAAAAGCCTGTTTTCTGTAATTACACATATATTGCTCTTTGAATTTTTGTTTCCACTGAACTATAGACAATGATCTGAAGTTGATTTAGTTAAGATAAGTAACTAATCTATCATTTCCTTGGTTAGCTCTTTCATTTCCACTAGTGGCTATTATATAAGCTGTACAACTTGGAAAGTAAAGTTTATTGTTACAGCAGCTTTTGAAAGAACTTTATCAAATAATCTATGATCTGTGAATATTTTCATTCTCATAAATCATGTCAGATCACCTCCATTTTATGGTTTTTAATTGATACTGGGTAAAACCCAAAAATCTTCAGTAAAAGTTTGCCAAACATAAATACCACCAGGTTGTATTTTCTGTGCACTGAATGCATGTTTGATTTCTATATTATGGACTGATTCATGCTACTTGCGATTCCTATTTTGTCTGATTACTTCTTCCTTGTTTTTTTTTTTTATATATTTACCTGCAAAGAATGTACCAACAATTGCACATCATTTCCTCTCTTTTCACAGACACTTTATCTTTTTAAGCTTTTATTTCTACTCAGTATAACAAATCTATCACTACATGTTCCATTAATTGCTTTCCATAAACTTCTGTGAGTGTTCTTAGCATTCCCAGATTGAGAATTTCCATAGCTTAAGCAAAAGATTATTTCTCAGTATGTGTTTATCAAAAAAAAAAAAAAGGAAAATTTCGTCACCGTAAGTTTGAGAGAATGATAACATAATCAATTCCAATAGTTTTTTGTTTTTTTGTCAGTCGTGGGGCTTGAACTCTGGGCTTGGGCACTGTCCCTGCGCTTTTCAGCTCAAGGCAAGTGTGCTACCACTTGAGCCACAGTGCCACTTCCGGTTTTCTAGAGGTTTATTGGACATAAGAGTCTCACCGATGTTCCTGCCGTTGGCTTTAAACCCTGATTCTCAGATCTCAGCCTCCTGTGTAGCTAGGATTACAGGCATGAGCCACGGGAGTCCGGCTCCAGTAGGGTTTTAAAATGATAACATTCTTGGGTGTATTTTTCCAAGAAGAGAAATTAGGGTATTATTTGTGGAACTGATTTTAAAATGCATGTTTTCAAATGGTGGGATGTTCCAGAACCACTTGGAACACTTCTGAAAAGACAAAAAATTGGGAGTCACTGAGAGAGGTTGTAGTTCAGTACCATTGAGTCAGGCCTATAAAGGCACCTTGGTAGCCATTTTCTAGATAATATTGATCCTACTAATCTAGGGAACAAACATTTAGAACCCGCCTTAGCATACTGAATCAAGAAAGCTGAGCTCCTTTCCTCATAATATCATCCAGCAGACCTGCTTTTGCCCCACCCAACTCTCACCCACATATTGAAAGCGTTTTATTGTAGCTGGAGGCTTTACAGTAAGCTGTTGATTGCTGTTTCCTAACACAGCAGTTGACAGCAGTTGGGGAATTAATCTTCCTGGTCCCAGTGTGCTTTTTTACAGGATGGGAGTGATAATAAAAATGTTAAGGTTAAAAAATAGTGATCTATTTACATTTGACAAGTTCTACAAGTAGTTATACAATCTATGAGAGTTCCACAGGAGTTTGGTTTAGGTAAAGAGTCGTATTTAGTTTTCTAAATGGAATGCTTCTTTTAGAGCTTAAATATCCTGACTAACTTTTTAAAATCTAGGGTAGTTTCTCATATACACAGCTATGTATGAACAGAAAGATTTGTACATTGAAAATGTGAGTATATATTGTACTCAGGAGTGTACATGTGCTTTAACAGCCTTAAAGGGAATTGCTTTATCTTCAAACCAGCTAGATACATTACATTACATCCATGATTACTTTTATTTTTTAACAGTAATCTAATACAATCACTACTGAAATGTTATTGTGTCATGTAAAACACAGGAGGCAGTCACAGCACTGATATTTAGAACAGTCAGGAAGAAAAAAATCTGCAATTGAAAGTGAGGGGAGCAAATGTTAACTACTGTGAGTCAAGCAAAAATGTTAAAATATTTTCAGCTCCTGAACTGTGGAGTATACTTACTCTGATGGTTGAACTTGGGTGAGACATTATGAAATATGACTCAACTTCAAGTTATTTTAACAATGTTATGAATTCTGTTTTTTTAAATTTCTACTCTCTTTCCTTGAGTATATGTCTTATGGTCATAAACTTAAGAGAAAGAAGGTATCTCTTTGAATATTCATTCAAATGTTTGAATAAAAGACTGGCAAACTATTCAAGATTGCTACTTTTTTTCTTGGATTTTTTAGACAAATATTTGCTATTTTCTCTTACAATCATGATGCCTCAAACCTATAAAGTTCAAGCTATAATCTGGCACTAATTTCTAACAAACTTAAAGAGAATAGAATATGAAAAATTGCAACTGCTTT